CGCACGGCGGCGGCGGAAGGTGAGGCACCGACGGGGCGCGAGCCGCGGGAGGGGGGCGGTGGCGGCGCGGGCCCGGCTCCGCCCCGCTCCTCGGGCACCGGCGCGGGGCCGCGGCCCCGGGAGCTGTCCAGGGCGGCCCGGGAGCAGCACTGCCCCGCGGACAGCTCACCGTGCCCCGGCGGGGTTCCCCCTTCCTGCCCGGGCCCGGCGCCGGCTGACACGGCCCGGGCCGGGCAAGGCCCGCTCGCGGGTGTTCGGGGCCCGGCGCCTCCCAGCGCGGCCTGACACGGCGCTGGCCGCCGCTCCGGGCAGCGTCTCAGGGCAAAGCTGACAGGACGAGAGGAGATGGCCCTAAGTTGCGTCAGGGGAGGTTTAGATTAGGTATTAGGAAATTTTTTTCATGGGAAAGGTTATAGCACAGGAATAGGCTGCCCGGCGAGCTGGTGGAGTCACCATCCCCGGAAATGTTAAAAAACCCTGTGGAGGTGGCACCTAAGGACACGGTTTAATGGTGAACATGGTGCTGGCACTGAGATCTGAAGTCTTTTCCTTAACCTTTACGGATAAAGATGATACAAATGATGCATTCACATGAGACACCCACTCTTCTGTGGGCGCACTTCCCCCTCAGGTTTGGCCACGTTGCCACGGAGCTTTGTTAAATAAACCCCGAGTTTCTGCTCGGCTCTGGAAGGTGCAGTGCAATCCACTGGGTCTGGCCAGCTCTGTGTGAACGGGGCATTTTGGACGGCTGCTCCAGCCTGGGAAGCCCATGCTGGTTTATGCTGTCTAGAAACTATGTCAGGGTATGCCAGTCTCTTTTTCACAAATGAAACAATATTTTACCTCCCAAACTTACCATAAGCAGCATAAAAATAATTGAAGCCTAAATTGTGTGCTTTTTTGGGTGCAAGGGACCATGTGCAGAACAGGGAGGGAAAAGATTTACCAGAGACTGCCCATGTGTGTGGTGTTACTGTTGCCTGTGTCTGTGTGAGGACAGCTCAGTTTCTCCCTTCTTTGGATAATTTTGACAAACTAATTTTGGATTATTTTAGGTCTGACTAAATGGTGACTAAAACATCTGCCTCAGGATCACTCTGCACCTGTGTTACCTAATACTGTTAGGTGACTTGAAGTGCTTTTGTACACAAGTTATAATGTCATGCAGCACATAACAGCACCTACAGCAACTACTAATGTCAATAAAAAGGATCACTGGACTCTTAATTCAGTTATATGAGACTTTATGTAATGGGATTGGCAGGAGAAATACTCTCAGAGATTTCTTCAAAGCACAAATAATGGAAATTTGCATTTTAGAGTCTTTCAGAAGCAGTGATGTTTTATTTGAAATTTCCAAATTTGTAAGAATATTTCTGTCCTTAAAGGTAGTCTGAGGTAGGATAACTATTGATTTTCAATTTTATTGAAAACCCTTAACTGTTCTGCTTATAAAATTTAATTTACTTTAATATAAAATACATGTTTTCATGATGAAGAATGTTACTTTGTCTCTCAAATTTGTCAGCTCTTTAAAAGAATTTTCTATTCTCACAAAGTGGATTTTTTAAAAACAAAAGAGCTCAAATTGCTTAATTGAAAACTCATTACTGAATGATACAAAAAATACTTTTTTGTCTTCTGGCAAAAGCCTGCACATAAATTTCTTTAAATTTGTAGTTCATATTTTCAGAACCTCCATCCCAAAGTTTTTTTGATCACTTCTATACATTAAGATAAAAGTTGCCATTGAGTGTCTTATGTAAGTTCCAAAAAGACCACCTGTAGTTCTGTGTCCTTGATGTTTAGTGTCAATATCTTAGATAAGATGATTCTTTTATATTGGTATTTATATTGTAAAGTTTATGTGACTTGAATCACCAAACACTTTCTAGGCTTATCTAAAAAGTGGAAAGAACAACCTAGGAGATGCATGCTGACCAAAAAAAAGCACATTGAAATTCAGCCTTCATGTGCAGCAAGGTGGTGGCAGCTTCAGTCAAAGTGGCTGAGCTGGGGAGAGCATTTTCTGTGTCCTGACTGCAGCAGTGTGACAGCGGCGTTCACGTTTTGTATCTGACAGAGGGAGTTGCCGTAGAGAAAAGCTGCTGTGAGAAAGGTAAAAGCCAAGGAGATGGTGCAGCTCTGCCAGCAGCTTTTAAATCAGGCACCATTTCTGTGCCTCAGAATAAGTGGTTCGAACCTGGTTTTTGAGATCTGGTGATGCCTCAGGAGCAGGGATTCTTCCAAGTCAGTGCTCATCTGTAGCTGTAAATTTTCCTCTTAGTTATTTAGTATTGGAATGGGCAGGGAGAAGAGAAATCCTTAAAGCTGGAGGATGAAAGGCTAAGAAATTGTTTAATTTGGGTCATCACAAATTTTTGGAGGAGAAAAAAAGCACTGGATTAAATATTAAAACAATTATAGTATTATTTTCATTTAATATAGCCTCCTGTGTAAAAATTATGAAGAACCTGTATCAAAGGAGAAAATAATTAAGGAGTCATGTGAGGAAGAAAAGCCTGTGTTTCCCCTGATGAGGGGAATGTTTTCCCCTGATGTTTTTCTATTATTTATCCTCATTCAATTGACTCTCTGGTAAAACCTATAAATAAACAGAAACTGCTTTTGTAACATTTAAAATCTGAAGGCTCACTTCAGAAATGCACTTGTGTTACTAACTATACAAATACAGGGAGCCTGGCAGGTAATTTTCATGCTAGAAGAAAATTATTATTTATTTCTTGCTCATAAACCTGGGCAGGACCATTTCATTGCTGATTTATGAGGTGAAGGCTTGCAGTCATGTCTGCAGTGGCTGTGGCCTGTTACATTTTTTGTCAAACTTGACAGGACATTTGTTCTTGTCAAAGTTTTTGAATCTTAAGAAAAATCAGGAACCCCTGTGGTTCAAGTCCACAGAATGCATAGGAGGGAAAAAAAAGGAATAGATCAGTAACCAAAAACGAAAATATCTTTTATGATCTTGGTGTTCTTCGAGCATTCCTGAACAGCAAGAGTTTGCAAGAGGCCACGCCGTGATTGTGTCACTTTGGTGGCCACATGTCGAATGTGCAGTTGAGTCAATTTTGGTCAAAGGCACTTTGTGTCACAGCCGTACATGTCTGTACAGCTGCTGGCAGAGTCTAACACGTGTCCCTGTGGCTCAAAGAATTGCAAAGAAACGCTCCCGCAGCAGGACCCAGGGTGCTCAGTGCGGGTTGGGCTCCCCTGGGTGCTGGGCGGAGGTGCCGGCTGCAGAGCAGCGCCAATGCCCCCGGGAAGGAAATGACACCCAGCGGGAAACAGCGTCTCCACGGCCTCATCCACACGGTCAGCCGTAAGGCGGGTACCGGGCTTTGCCGCCGCCTCCGCCCGGGACACGGAGCGCGGGGGAGCCGGGAGCCAGGCGGGAATCGCCGAGGCCGCAGCAAGGCCCGTGTGCGGGTCCCCAGCGTCCCGCACTGCGCTGGAGCAGGGTCAGGCCACACACTCGGCACCCCGGCGGCCGCAGGCGGCCTCCTGCAGGCGGGGGCGGTGACGCGGGCGGTGCGTCCCAGGCAGCGTCCGGAGCCCCCGCAGCGCCGAGCCCCGGGAAGAGCGCGGGGCGGGCCCGGCCCGGGCGGGAGCGCGGCCCCGCCCCGGCCCGAAGGTTCCCGAGGCCGCTCGGGTCAGAGCCGAGGGCAGCGCCGGCAGCGCCCTCCGCCGGCGGTGCGGCGGGTGCGGTGGTGCGGGCGGCGGCGGGGCCGCGGCCGGAGCACGGCGCAGGTAAAGCTCTCCTGCGCAGGTATCGCTCGGCCGCCCCTCGCCCCGCTGGGGCTCAGCACGGCTCAGCCAGCGGGGCCCGTCGGCCCGGGCCCGGTGCTGCCAGGCCGCTCCCCGGGCCCGCCGNGCTCGGAGCGCGGCTCTCACGGCCGGGCCCCCCGGGGTCGCGGGACAGCCGGGCGGGACGCGCTCCCCGGCGGGCGTGCGGCCGCCGCGCGACTCCGGCCTCGGCGTCTCATCCGGCCCGGCCCGGCCTGCGGAAATAAAGTTTTACGGGTAAAGTTAGAGCCCGTGGCTCGCCGTTCTGTATTTTGATGTTACTTTTTGCGGCTTATTGGGGGGCTTTGATTAGGCAGTGGTGGCAGATAGGTTACTTTGACTTTGCAGATCTCTTTTGCTGTGGTGCTGCTTCAGTGTCTCAGTTTGAAATACAAGGCCTTGCAAATATATGGCATAGGGTTAAAAAAAGTTTTTTGTTTTTTTTTTCTGGGGAAGGAAAAGTCTCTATTTCTGGGGAAGGAAGTGCACTGTCCATAGCATTTTCATTGACTCAGTTGACTGTAATATACCAACACACAAATTCTGGTGTCTGGCCATAAATAACTTCATGCTATTGGGTTTTCTCATAACAATCCATGGAATATTTCACAATTAAAAAGAAATTACTAATAATGTTTAAAGCTGCTTTTGCGACCCAAAAACTTCCATCTTCTTGGTTTTACAATTAACCTTATTTGCTGTTGCTTAAGATGAGGTGTTGTTTCTTTGTTTCTCACCTTGTAAGTACAGAGGATGTACTCAGAATTCCACTTACCTTGTGGAGAAGAGGAAAGGACAAACAACACTAAGAAACAAATTTTCAGAGTACAGTAGCACATTATCTTCTGAACAGTATCTCAGATTGGTTTTTTCCTAAAGAAGGAATAGACAGTAAATACGTGAATGTTGTCATGTAGTTAAAACTGTTAATCTGCATTTTTACTAATTTGATATCTTTTGCTTTCCCTTTTTAGGAATGGAGGGGAAAAAACTTATTTCTGCAACAGACACACAATATTCTAGTGTGCTCCTTCAGTCTTTGAATGAGCAACGTGGCCATGGACTTTTTTGTGATGTTACAGTCATTGTGGAGGACCGGAAATTTCGAGCTCACAGAAACATCCTTTCAGCCTCAAGCACATATTTTCACCAGCTTTTCTCAGTGGCTGGTCAAGTGGTTGAACTGAGCTTTGTAAGAGCAGAAATTTTTGCAGAAATTCTTAATTATATTTATAGTTCCAAAATAATCAGTATCCGATCTGATTTACTTGATGAACTGATTAAATCAGGGCAGGAGCTGGGTGTTAAATTCATAGCTGATCTGGGCATACCTCCGGCCGAAGGCAAGAATGTGCCAAGCGAGATCAAAGACAGTGCTTCAAAAACTTCAGCTTCCAGTCCAAATCAAAGAGATGCTGAAACACAGGTGACTGTAATACGGCCAGAGGGGCAAGAGGCAGCAGATGGCATGCCTGTTATAACACAGTCATTCTCCTTACATGGCATAGAATACGAGACTACAAAAATTACAGTGAGCGATTCGGATGAGGAGGATGACGATGTAATTTTTTGTTCTGAGATTGTTCCCCCAAAAGAAAGTACTAAAGACAAAAATGCTGCAAGCCAGAACCAGCCTTGCTCAAGTCCAGCTGGAGCTTCTGACCAAAAATCCTGTGGCAGTGGTGGCTCTCCCCATTTGACGAACAGCACAGCAGCTCAGAACCTCACTTTGTCTGCCACTCAGCTAAGCCCAAGCCAAACACAGTCAGGTGCTGAATCATTTGTCTCGGCAACGCCGCAGCATTTTACTCCCAATATCATTGTGCTGAACAAGCCTCTGCTTAACTCATCACTTGGTGCCAGCTCCTTGCATCAAACACATGTGACTCCTACAATTAATTTACTTGAGGAGAACCAGCAGCCATCCAATAACGGCTCTGTAACTGAAGTGGAAGCAACTGCTGTTGATGATGAAGAGGTTGTTGAAGATGATGTCGATATCATTAGCTCCTCTAGTCCTGGTTCAGTCGGCAACAGCTCTGTGGTTCAGCAATCTTCTGTTCCTAAGGCAGGAAGCACTGAAGGATCAGGTGTACAGAAAAAACAGGTTGTTACATTTTCACAAGAGCCAGCTACTAAAGCTGGAGAATTTAAAATAAAAATCTCAGATGTCCTTTCTGGAAACAACAAGGAATTAAGTTCGGGTCTAACATCAAAGAATGTGGCAGATGGGCAGAAAATCATAACATTAGATACAGCAACTGAAATAGGAGGCTTATCCACAGGCTGTAAGGTTTATGCAAACATCGGTGAGGATACCTATGACATAGTCATCCCTGTGAAAGGTGACTCTGAGGAAGGGGAAGCCAAGCCTGATGACACACCCAAAAAGTCTGGTGATGAATCTCCAAAGGGGAAACGCATGAAAGTAAAGCACGATGACCACTACGAGCTGATAGTGGACGGCAGAGTCTACTACATTTGTATCGTGTGCAAGAGGTCGTACGCGTGCCTGACCAGCTTGCGGAGACATTTCAACGTGCACTCCTGGGAGAAGAAGTACCCATGCCGCTACTGTGACAAAGTCTTTGCTCTTGCAGAATATCGTACCAAGCACGAACTTCACCACACCGGGGAGCGAAGGTACCAGTGCTTGACGTGCGGCAAATCTTTCATCAACTACCAAATCACCATCTCCCACATCAGATCTGTTCACAGCCAGGACCCTTCCGGAGACACCAAGCTGTACCGGCTGCACCCCTGCAGGTCCCTGCAGATCAGGCAGTACGCCTACATCAGTGACCGCCCCAGCAGCGTCCCGGGCATGAACCAGGGGGGAGTTGTCTATCGTGTTGGCTCAGGGAAGGATGGCACTGAGGGAACAACGTCCAACCCTCCAGCCAAACAAATCACCTGGGATGACATTTTCGTTCCGCAGGGAAATGAAACAATTTTTAAACAAAACCCGTCAGAGGGAAGTACTGAGTTTGAGTTTGTGATACCAGAATCTTACTGAAATGTTTGAAATGCTGGAAAAAGGGTTCAGTGCGGGAGCACTGCAGCTGTTTTAACTGAACTGTTGAAATTGCTGTAAAATCAAAGGTTTAAGTCAAAAGAAGTTAACTTGTTCTACCAAGTAACCAAATGGTAACACTTAGATGGACCATGTTAATTGCAGTGATTTGTGGAAGCAATTGATCAGAAAATTCACTTGAATAGAGAGTGAGACATTCTAAGGCGCTACCAGAGTTTTCAGATATGTTAAATTTGATCAAAACGTGAGGATTTGTGGCTTGAAAATGTACAATTCCTTCTAAAGAGCTAGAAATATATCTAAACTAATTGAGGTATTTCCTGCACCCATACTTACCATGTAAACCCTTTCTTTCATGTTAGCACTTTAATGCTGAATTCTCTTTAGATGTTAACCAAGAAAACAGTAAAATGTTTTCATCATAGTCTCTGGGTCATGGAACCATTTAAAAAAATAATCCCACAACTCACATTTGTGAACAAGGAGCCAAAATACATGATCCCCTACTGCACTGGAGTTGTCTGTTTTTGAGCTAGCATCCTAATTCTGCTTTCATAAATATTATGAATCATCTGTCTTCATGCAAAAAGTCTTGTCAGCAAGCAATACTCAGTTAGGGCTAACTTGAACAAACTTTACTTACACTTGGCAGTATGGTGAGCTAAGTATTCAGTGTCCTGGACCTTGGTTTTTACTTTTTTTGCAATGGGAAAAAGCCAAACCCTACAAAGCTGAATAGTAAAGAGGCTTGGAACACTTAGGAAGGAGATAATTTTACCTTCTTACAGCTTGAGAAATATTGTTGCATTTTCTTACCGCTGGAAAAAACGCCAGTAATTAGTTTGATATAAAGTGTTCCTTTTTATTTTTATCCCACTTCAAGAAGCAGGGCTTCAGTGCAGAATTTTTAAATGATAAAAATATTATTTCTTTTTAGCTGAAGTTTTCTCAAAACTATGAATTCATGTAAGTGCTGTATTGGTTTAGCACTGAGACTGAGGCAGATCTTGTATGCCTGTTTGGCTGGATCTTCAGGTATGGCAGGGATTCGGATTTCCCCCCACACTTGCCCCCATTTATACATCTTTTGGAAGATGAGGACTAAACCAACAACCAGAAAATACCCTTTATACAGCATGACCCAAAGTATAATTTCTCTGCAATTGTCTCGTTGCAGCTGTTTCCAGGTTTGGGTTTATTATGTTGCCCTTTTTATCTCCTTGCAGTTGGTGCCTGTTTTAACAGTTAAAAGATGAATTAGATGTCCAACTTGATCAGGAAATGGTAGATAAAAACAGCTGTTTACTGGAGTCCTAGTTTAGCATTTCAGAGTTAGTGACTTGTTGAATTTTTGTAAATGGTAATATGAAATCTCCTCAAGTTCTAGAGGTGGCTGGGAAAGACTATTGTGCATAGTACTAGTTATGGAAACCTTTAATTGCTTAAATTGCAGTTACAGGTTTCTCTTTTCTTTTTCATGTTTTAAGTTAGTGTCTTGATTTTATGACTGTCAAAGTTAAAGGTTTTAGACCTTTAACAGTACTCTTCACAGAAAGGCACTTAAATGGTAAATGGTTCAAATATAAGTTGAGCTACAAAAACGATACCAGAAATCCACGTGAGCAGTGATGGGAGGAGGATTTGTGGTGCATGTGGTGCTCAGCACTTCTCCTTTGTCAGCCAAGAACATGATATACCTGATTATTTCCAGATCATATTGCAGACCCCTTTGAATGCAATGGGTCCTGCTTTGAATGTGGGATGTAACTGAGCTGGCACTTCTGCAGTCACACATTATCACCACGGGACTTGAGTGTGGACTGCCTGTGTTGGCACAGGTGGCTGGTGCTGTGGTGGGACTTCCTGAATTTTGTGGCAAGACAAATGCAATTTTATTTTTGTTATTGACATGACACATGTTTAATCACAGAATAGTCTTGAGTTGGAAGGGACCCACAAGGCTCATTGAGCCCGACTCTTAAGTAAATGGCCTGTGTTGGGATCTGGAATTAAGCATACATTACAAAGTGTAGAATTAAACATAATGGCTATCACTATTTGCTGCTGATGTATTTAAAACCTTAAATTAAACTGTGCCTAGTAAAGGTCTCTCTTTGGAGGAAAACTGGAAAATTAGGGCTTTGTAACTATTTCTGCTAGAAGACTCGTGCTTGCATGTGTCTCAGGGTCTTCAGTTTTCCTTGGAAGTGATTTTGATATCCAAAGTCCAGAGGTATGTAAA